CCAAGTGCTGTGGTTGGTGCCATCAGAATTCAGGGTCCTTCTGGATGCTGCAGGGGCAGGGGCTTTGGCTAAAGGCAATGGTCCCTCCTGGTCACGTGGCAGCCACAGAGCTAGGCAGACCCGGGTTAAGAATGGAGCCCCAGAGACCCCCTGACTGACGCTCCATGAATCCACAGAGGCTCCAGGGCCTGCAGGCCACCAGTCTCCTCTCCAGGTGCGGTCTCTTCTTCCTGTGGCCCTTCCGAGTGACCAAACGTCTCCTTTCCCTAGGCCGTGCTTCTTGGGTTGAAAAGGGAGAGAGACCCCTTGAAACAGAGAAGGCTCACATGCCTTTCTCCCAGAGAATGCAGTTCCACATACAAGTTCATGTATTTTTTTCTGGGGGTCTACCCACTGGGGTCTCTGTTCCCTGGTGAGGACCCCATTCTTTCAATAGCTCAAGTGCTCAGCCTCTCCCTTCTCCACATCACCCTCTCTTACTGCATCACAGTGGGTACAGAGGTGCTCCACATATGTCTTGGGCCAAGAGCCTGGAGAGGAGGGACAGCGGTCAGACACAGCTGGGTGGCCCCACAGATGACAACTTGCAAAGCTAATTGTGTAGTGTCTAGATCCAAGGGTGTTCCCAGAAGAATTTAGCACTAGTTAAGTCTAAATTCACTGGCTGCAGTGAATTTAGAGAAGACTCTAGCATTCATGTGACAAATCATGTGTTATGTTCTGGTTGAAAACATTAGAAGTAATTCCAAATGGTTTAATATGTGACTTGGGAAAAAAAAAGAAGAGAAAAAAGTTGAAGAATGCACTTCATAGTGTCCCATTTCTGTTGTTTTTGTTTCCAAAGCCAATGTGAGGTCCACCTCACGGACTTCGAGAAAAAGTGAAAGCAATTCTGCAGAGTCGGTTAGAGGTTTGGAAAAAAGGTCCTGGTGACAGCATGAGTCCCCTTACTCCTCCTGTGCAATCCTTAACAATTTTGATTTAAAACCAAGGGTCCAATGAAAACTGTTTTTATACTGTTAAATTTTGAGAATTCTTTCTACACTAGGGATACCAATCCTTTGTTAGACAGTTTGCAAATATTTTCTCCCAGTCTACAGCTTGTGTTCTCACCCTCTGCACTGGGCCATTCACAGGGCAAAAGGTTTTGAATTTGGTGAGGTCCAACTGAAGCCAGAATTAAACAGGCAGTCAGTATAGACAGGTAGATCCAGTCAGGTGGATCAAGGAGGCCAATTTTGAGTGAATCCCGGGAAGTTGCAGACTGTCCCCTGAGGGACTGAAATGTGAGTTCCTTCAGAGCCCTTCCTCCTCCCTGACCAAGAACCTGCCCTGCTCCAGCCTGTTGCCAAGGTGACCTGTCCCAGGAACTGCCCCTGCCTACAGGGAGCCAGAAAGTTGTTAATGTGTCCTGGGCTGCCCCATCCTGCCCTTCCCCCTTCAGCCCACCTGTGTCCCACCTTTGGGCCATCACACCATCCCACTGTCCCACTGTCCCACTGTCCCACCAAGCACTCCAGGCCTAGTCCTGGGCCTAGTCACTTATGCAGGAAGGAGAAAGATAAGAAGAAAAGGCAGGAGAACAAAGCATCCTAGGACGTATAAAAAGGGCAGAACACCTCGCCTCTGGGGACACCAGGATACCAGCTCTGGCCCCCTTCTCCCTCCTGGGAGAACCCTATGTCACCCCTTTTTAAATAAACCCTGTTTTATATGCCTGCCTCGGCGTGCTTCTCTAATGTCCAGACTTCAACGTGTGGGAAGCAGGACTCATCACCATAACCAGCGTATCACAATCTGTCAAACTGTCCTCCTATGTATGCTACTTTTGGTGTCGATACTAAAATCCCACTGCGTAGCCCAGGTCCTTGAAGGTTGGTTCCCGTGTGTTCATCTCAGTCCTCATGGCTTTATGTTTAACGCCATGACACAGTTTGAGCTGATATGTGGACAAGGTGTGAGGCTTAGGTGAAGATTCCTTTTCTTGCCTGATGGAAGACTAAGTTCTGAAGCTCCTGAGGGAATATGAGCTCCAATGAGCGCCAAGCTGCAGACGAAGACGTCTGATGGAGCGCTTGTGTTTTCTCCTCCCCCATCTCAGTATGGAGAGTGTCCAGATCCAGAAAAGGAGCAGAAAACTTTCAGATTTTAAACATTGCATTGCTTTGTGAACTTTTTGATGCAATGATCAAAGGACTGCAAGATCATGAGTCACAGATCACTTATTTTAAAACGTTCTGTGTGCCATTGCAGAGGTTCCCACATGACACTCCTCTTTCCTTACTCCTCCAGCCCCACAGTAAGCCGGAAATTCAGACACTGAATCATTGTGAAACTCAACTGAGACACCCAGTGGTTCCTATGGCTCTTTTTACACCTATAATACTCTCCCAGGCCCCATATCATGCTTATTTGTAACTATCTCATGGACTTGTGGAAATTCTAACCTTCTACCTGGGTGATATTCTAGAAAGATACTTTTTTTTGATTAAAAGAAGTTGGTTGAAGAGATAATCCTATCTCGTCTTTTAATATGAGGTCTTCTCACATTTTCTGCCTGGTGATCAATAAGTCATAAATCATAAGATCCCCTCAAGAACGATTCCACAGCCTGGCTGCTGTGTGAGGGGCAGGGGCAGGTAACCCAGGATCTATGCAAGGTCACCAGAACTCCTGTGGTCTCTCCCGTCTTGCTGTCTGATCATGAAGACTCACAGATGTATTTTTCTACACATCAAAATACAAATCCCCACACAAGAATTGGAATAGCTGGTCTCAGGAATGGTTCTAGAAACTCCACAAGTGATCATAGAATAATTTTAAAGAGTCCACCAAAAGGATAATTTGATCTCCAAAAAAGTTTGGTAACATAATTTAAATGCATTATTTTCATTAGAGATCACCATTTCTTCTTTTACTAATCATGGCATCCCTTTGTAGATCTGTACTTTCCATGAAGACATTAATTTAAAAGCAATTCTGAAGCATTTTCCCTTTCATTTGTAAGTACTTCATAAATGCTGATGCTCTTAAACTTTGCTTTTGTCCCAAACTGTTCATCATTAATTGAGTCTTTAATGGATAGTTAATAAAATCCCTTCACCCACCAATGACCAGATTGCATGGCTGATAAATTCAGATTTTTATGGAGCAAGCTTCACTAACAGTGAATTTTTTAATTTGCAAGTGTAAAGTCCCTCATGCATATTTAGAGGAAAAGATGCTTACAATAAAATTGAAATTCTTCCAATTCTCCTTATTTGTAGGTGCTTCAAAATTATCTTGCAGAGTGAGAAGAGGTTCTAAAAGTTAACTGTGCCCAAGAGTTGTCCTTCCCCCCTAAAGCAAGTGAGAACTCTGGTCCAGGCAGGCCAGTGGGGCACTGGGAGCTCTCTTGGGCCGAGCTTCCTGAAACACTCAGGTGGCGGCCCAGGCCCAGGCCCAGGTCTAATGGGAGCATCACTCATAAGAGAAGGGTGAAGGCGAACTCTGACGCAGTTGCAGAGAGCCATCGGCTAATCTCAGGGGGCAGGAGAACCCTTCCCATCTGTCCTGGTGGCACGTGCTGGGCTGGGTTTTGGTGCTGTCGCCTGATGGTCCTTGGATGCTGGCTGCCCCAGCAGGGGTGTAACTCACAGGAGGGGCTCCCTAAGACCGGAGCTGATTCATTGTGAAATGTGGGGGGCAATGGTGCTGTGTGCTGTTGGCGCTGGCCCCAGGGACCCGGGAATCCACTGCCTTGGTTCTGAGAGGGCATCAAGGGCATCTGCTACCAGTGGCTTGGGTTAGGCCCCAAAAGAGCAACAAGGGGGGGTGTCTCTTCTTTTGCTTATGCAGTGGGACAATAATGGGACATAGCTAAAGAAAGCCGCAAGTACCAACGAGGCCGATGAAGGACCTGCTGCTCATCAGAGGGGCGCGGCAAGGGGAAGGACAGTCACCTCCAGCTGGCCAGCGCCAGTCGTGCCAGGGGCTTCTGGCGATGTGCTGGTCCTTGTCCCCACGGTCTCCCCTGTGTGTGTGCAGATGGGGGCATTGACAGGTTATGTCTACCTTCTCACTCTGGCTCTTGCTCACGTGTCCCTTGGCCCAGCCCTTTCTCCCACTGTAACCTGGCCCCAGTGTTCCCAGGCACAGTCTGTCTGTCCGCCTTGTTGCTTCTCCCACAGGGAAGTCCCCAAGTCTGAGGGTTGGCTGTGGCCGTGTCTTGGAACACCAGGAGCATGCTCCTCGCTGCCTGAGCCACAGCTGGTCTCTGCCTCTAAACAGGGTCACCGGGGTCACGACCCTCAGGGATCCAATGTTCTGGCTGGCTGAGTCACAGTGGGACCGTAGCTTTGGGGGCCCACTCTTGGAGGTGAAGCAGAGGACACTTCTGGTCAGCTGCGAGGCAGCACTGGCTGTACAGTAAACTCTTACACAGAGGACGGTGCCATCTTGAGGTGTGAGCTCCACTTCCCACAACGGAGTTCACACCCAGAGCACGTGACAGCCCTGGGGACGCCCCCTCCCACGTGCGCGAAGATGAAGCCCCTCCAACAACCACAGCAAGGTAGCAGCACCTGGCGGGGCTCACCCTCCTCTCCACCCCACCAGGCAGGCCCAGTGACACCGTGTGGACTCTGGCCTCCTCTGGACAGTCACCGTGAGTGACAAATTTCAACGAATGTATGTGGGCTAAATTAGACACGGTTATTCTGATTTTCCGGAGGTGACTTGGTTTGTAAAGCGTGTTTTCCTTCTCTCCACCCCACCTTTGAGGAGAGATTAGGGGGTAATTTGTTTTGAGGAATGAAAATTCAAAGCTCTGCAACTTCCGAGCCGCAAGCCTGTCACTTACCCTGAGAGTTTAAGTTGTGGAAAAGATGGCCACTGATGTCCATCAACAAAAAACAAAGTGGGAACCTGGCGGTTGGAATGGTTTCCCCAGGAAACGAGAGCCGTCTCAGGAGAGTTCAAAAGGGGCGCTGGGAAAAAGGAACCGTCTCTGAACGGCTCACCTTTACCTTGGGCTTCTCCTTCACCACCTTCTTCTTCTCCTCCTTTTTGGCCTTCTTTCCCTTCTTCTTCTTCTTGTTCTTTTCTTCCTCTTCTTGGCCTGCAACGATATCTTCAATCACCTGGAAAACAACCCAACAATCACCGCGCTCAGGCAGCAGTGGGCGAGGTCGCTCCTGTCTGGAGTGCCCTGCTGTCGGGACCCTTCTCTGCCTGCTCTGGGCGGGGATGAGCCCTGGGGTGGCAAGGCCACCATCTAGTAGAGCTGACTTGTCTGCAGGAGGCAGCAGAGGAGCCCAGAGGGGACTATGCAGAGCTGGACCCTTGTGAGTCCAGGTCCCCCTAGCTCAGAGCTGCCCCTGCTCCAGGGGTCCCTCAAACTCCAGACATCTGGGCCTCCTCAACGTCCAGCAGCAGCTGGGCACGCCCCACCTCGACCTGCAAGTTCAGGATGCCACTTCCAGCCTGGACCCCGATGGTGACAGGAGTTCTCGTAATAACTTCCCCTTTCCATGAGTTCTCTGAGTTTTCTTTCTTCACCCAAGACATAATTTATATTTCCTATAAAATGTAAAATTCTCTTTCAACGGTACCTCCATCCCATCACACCTGGACTGACACTATGGGAGGAGGAGGACAGGTCTGGGAAGGATCGTGCAACTCAGGGAGTGGGACATGCGTTCAGGGAGCATCACTCTTTGCCACTGGGAGCTGTGAGTGTCGGGGACACCAAGGTGACCAGGGCAGGATGCCCTTGCTTGTCCCTCGGGCTCTGCTCCCTGCAGGTCCTGACTGAGCCAAGCTGTGTGGCCTCTCTGAGGTGCTTCCTCAGCTCCAGAATGAAGCCAACACCCCCACACAAAGCACCAATGGTGTGCCAGGCACAGCTCCGAGACCTCACAAGGCTGAACTCTTTACTGTGGGACACGCCGGGGGTGGTATCCTGAAATTTTATGATTTACTTGTTAGTTATCACAGGATTTGGGGGGGATCTACAGTGTTTTCCATAAAAGATGATGTTGTTCACTGAGACAATTTCCCTCCTTCTTTTCCTGTTTGGATGTTTTTTATTTCTTATTTTTTTCCTAATTTATCTATCTGGTACTATTTTGAATAGAAGGTGCAAAAATGGGCACCCCTGTCTTGTTCCTGATCTTGGAGGAAGAGCATCCAGTTTTTGCCACTGGTAATGATGTTAAGCTGTGGGCTTTTCATATTAAGGTCTTTATTGTATTAAGATAAGTTTATACCATACCTAATTTGTTGAGTTTTATCATGAAAGAATGTGGAATTTCGTCAAATGCTCTTATGTATTTAGTAAGATAATTACATGATTTTTATCCCTCCTTCTGCTAATGTGACTGATTTGCATATGTTGAGACATCCTTGCACCCCAAGGATGAATCCTGCCTATGAATTTCATAATGCAGACAGAAAAGAGTCTTGTTGCCATGAATAAGTACATGCAGACATCATTTTTCAGGTGCAAGTGTATCTGCAGAATAAATTCTTAAAAGTGAAATGCTGGATCAAGAGTATGTACCTCTGTGACACTGTCCTGAGTTGGACAAATTTATCCTTTCACCACGATGAAGGAAGGGGCTGCTTCTCTGTGTCCTTGCTATCACAGTGCCTGGTATCTGTCAACCTCCTCGGTGGAAAAGGATATGCCTTGTAGTTGTTTCAGATTTTTTTTTTTGAGAGGTCAGTATTGAATTTATTTTCTCATGCTCCTTAACTATGGCAAAATCTTCCAGAATTAAATGTGCACTTTCACTACCATTGTGAGGTGTGTGTGTGCATGTGTACACATGTAAATACTCACAATGAGCATCGCAGACAAGAAATCATCATCATCATTATTATTATTATTATTTTGTGGTGCTGGGGCTTGAACCCAGGGCCTTGTGCATGTGAGGCAAGCTCTCTACCAACTGAGCTACAGCCCCAGCCCAATAAATCATTTTTCTAATCCATAAAGAACTCCTACAGCTCTGCAAGTGTGGCCCACTGCCCATTTCTATTTTTAAGTGTGACTTTACTGTGGCATATTTTACATATTCTACAGTCACGTATTCTAAGTGTACAATTCAGCAAATTAGTCAGGTGGTGTCACTTTTAGGACATTTCCGTCACCCAGGAAGATCCCTCATGTCCACTGTCGTTGCCTTCGCCCTCCCTCCTTCCCAGCAAGCCCCAGCCTGCCTTCTGTCTCCAGGGACCTGCTTTCTCTGGACGTTCTGCATGACAGACGCAGACGGTTCAGTGTCAGCCGTTTCTGGCTTCTTTCCCTCAACAATGCTCGTAAGGCTCACCTACGCTGTCCTGGATACCAGCTGTGCGTTCCTTTTTATTACCAAATAATATTCCACTGTGTGGCTAATGCCCCATGTCTCCCATCCATTTACCCATTCATCCATTCATCGAAGCTGCTTCAAATTCTTGGCTATCGTGACTTACGCTGCTATGAATATTCATGCACATTTTTTTATGTGGACGTTTGTTTTCATTTCTCTTGGAAAGGGGTCCTAAGACCGGAACTTCTGGGCCGTGTGGTCAGCTCATGTTGAACTTCCAGGAAGCTGTCGAACTGTTTTCCAAAGCGGTCCCAGCAGCCACGCTGAGGGCTTCTTTTCCTCCGGTCCCCAGTTTTGGGGGCTTGTCTTTTTCATTATTTTCATCCTAGTGAGTGGGAGACACTGTCCACTGTGGTCTCCCGGTCACCACCCTAAGGACCAGTGATGTTGAGCATCCTCCACTGCTGATTTGCTCTTCACAAATCTTCTTTTTGCATTGTCTGTTCAAGCTTTTTGCCCATTTTTGGATTGGGGCCTTTGTCGCGTGTTTGGGGTCTCAGAGCACTCTGGATGCTCTAGATACAAGTCCTTTGGAGGGTTTTGAGTTACCGTTAACCTCATTTCATAAAAAGCATTTGTTTTGCTTTCATGTTTTAGAAAGGCAAACGTGGCCACTGTGTGCTGTCACGGCGACCGTGCGTGGCCTGCCGTCTCTTCATTCCTCGACAGCATGTGCCAGGCCAGCGCCACTCTGCCATCAGCAGCAGCTGTTGGGACTTTCTGAAAGACTGTGATGTGACGCGCTGTGTTCTAGGTGCGTCACACACAAACTGCACCTAAGTTTTGCCCCCGCACAGGAGGAGGTATTGCCAGCACCACGTTCCAGAGGAGCAGAGGCAGGCAGAGGGGAGCCGCGACCTGCGCCGTGGGCCCAAAGTGTGCTGGCATGCAGGAGATGGGACTCGTCGCCTGCCCCTCCCACTCTCCCTCCGTCTGCCATGAGAGCTAATGCTCGCGCCCTCTGCTCTACCGAAACGTGTAAAGACAAGCCGGGTTCACTCGGATGGACTGGAGGCCACCACATCCTGCGTCCACACTCACTACCTTCCCAGGCTAGCACGCAGCCTGCTTGCCACGGGCTCAGAACAACTGGTGCCTGAAGATTCAGCCGCAGGGGCAGGATCTGCACACACGGAGGAGGGCACCTCGGCCAGATTGAGACAGCAGTCCCTCAGGACGGGGCGGCTGACCGGCCGGGGAGTGGTAAGGCCTTGAGGCCAGGTGCTGCAGAGTGCGGGGAGAAGGCAGGAGGGGAACGGGGGCCGACAGCCGCGACTTCTGGGGAAGTGGAGGGGGGCTCTGCAGCCTGAAGAGAAGCCTGTGTGTCTGACCCGAGGCCCAGGCAGGGCACCCAGGGACAGGCTGGCTGCAGGGTGGGCGGTGAGGTCCCAAGGCCTGACCTGCAGCCTGGTTCTAACTGCACGGCTCTGCTTCAAGCCATTCAATTCCCTATTCAAGACGGCGAGGCGGGTCTCCTGGGCCAGTGCCGAGGTCCAGGCAGACAGCAGCTCCTGCCATCTCCACGGCAGGGGCCAGCAAATGAGGGTGCATGGGCCAGACCTGGCCTGCTGCCCACTTTTGAAATGCAGTTTCACTGGCACATGGCCATGCCTGTTCATTCGCTGATTGTCTTTGGCTGCCAAGAGGCCATGGCAGAGAATGTTTGTTCCACGGCCTAAAATATTTGATATCTGACCCTTAATGGGAAAAAAAAAATTTGTTGACTTCTGATCTGTAGCAATTTGTCTTATTATTTTCTTTAGTATAAATTCCTCAAATAGCATTTATGAGTCAAAGGGTAGCCACATAAGAAGTTTTTGATGTCCACTTGGTACTTGTCCCTTAAAAAGTACCCCGCCAATTCACGTGTCCATCAGTAGCATAGGACAGTGACTTTGTCCCCCGTGCACACTGACTTCTTCTGTTTTCACTGTAATTTTTTTTTTTTTTTAATTAGAGCCCTAGAGTTTTGCACAGTGGTTGGACTCGTTTGGCCAAGTCACGCATACATGGAATTTGATGGACTCCATTCCAGTCCCTGCCCTCATCCCTCCTCTACTCTGCTGATCTTCCTCACTCGTTTATCTATGTATTTATTTCTGATGGGTGCATTTTACATCACATAAAGGTGGAGCTCCCTGCGGTATGCTCACACACATATCGTGACTATGTTAAGTTCGTTCTGCGTTTCCTCCCCTTTCCCTCCCGCTCCCTCTCAATCTTCCTCTTCTGCTCCACTGATCTTCCTTATATCTTTATGATATCTGGTTTCCCTCATTTTACTCTAGCTTCTGCTGTGGGAGCAGCCATTGGACCTTGTCTTTATGAGTCTGGCTCATTGCATTTAGCATGACGTTCTCCAGTGCCATCCATTTACTGGCAAATGCCATAATTTCATTCTTCTTTGTGGCTGAGTGAAACTCCATTGTGTATACACACCACATTTTCTTAATCCGTTCATCTACTGACAGGCATCTGGGCTGGTTCCGTAATCTGGCTGATGTGAATTTGTGCTGCTATAAAAACTGACGTGACGGTATCGCTATAGTATACTGATTTTAGTTCTTTTGGAGAAATACCAAGGAGTGGGACAACATGTTGACTTCTTATTACCTTGATTTGAATGTTTACCAATTGTACAGGTAAAGAGATACAGCAAAATTATTTTAAATTTAAATGTCTTTACGAGTGAATCTAAAAAATCTTCTTTTGAAAAAAAATTCCATGGATATTCCTTGGCTTCTTTTCTACTGGATGTTCAGATTTTCCTTCTTATTTTCCAATAACTCTAAATGTAACTGACGTCACCATCACAGGTATCACAAGTACTTCCCTTAGTGATATGACTGGAAGTGCATTCACAATTTTGGGTTCTGCCCTTGTAGACAACAATCTGTATTCTGGCTGATTTCCTCCTACAGTGACCTGCTTCTAACATCATTCCTTACCCCCTGACTGTTAAATATCCCGACATTTTTCTGTTAATATGTGATCTAGTATTTTACATGCAAACATCTAATGCATCTGGAATCTATCTGTGCATTAAGGGAGGTCAGGATCTCATGGTCTTGCCAAGTGGGGAGCCACTGACCCCAAGTCGTGTGTTGGGAGTCCTTCCCTCCCCGGCTCCTGGGAAAGTCCGTCCTGGGTTCCTGAGCTCCAGTGTGTGTCCGACTCAGGGACACGGAGCCTGCTCAAGGAATGTCACCTGTTATTCTCCTAGTTGCCCTCGATCAGTTCTTTCCCCGATACTGTGGGGGTGGATTCCTTAAAAATTCTTTGATCTATATCTACAAAGCGATTCCCCTTCCTCAGAGTTCCTTAAAAAATTGGGTGGATGTTTCATGCATTTTCCAGATACACGTGTGAATAAGCATGTCAATATAAAACCACTTTGATTTTGATTGAAAACGCATCAGCTGCGTAGAAATGATGGGCAGCTGATGTGTATTCACACTTATTCACACTTCACGACGGAGGCCTACTGCCCAAGCCTTTCCGTCTTCCTCAGTGAGGTTCTGTCAGTATCTTCTGAACCTCTGTCTGACCTCTCAGTGTGATTTCTACATTAGTGTCGGGATTCACTGAGAGTCCTAATGGAAGGCCCTCAGAGCTGGGGGAGAGCTGGCCATGAGCCAAGGCTCTGAGAGGTCAGTGGCTGAGACTCGAGGGGGACCGGTGGGGGGACGGCTGGCAGCGAGGTCTGGGGACAGGAAGGAGGGGAAGGACCTGGCCTGAGAGGCAGGCAGGGACACGGAGGGCACCTGAGTCAGGCTGCTCAGACTTCAGCACGGAAAGGTCATCATACCTCCTCCCAACCAGACAGGAAAAGGGTGGATTCGTTTGGAAACGACTCTGCAGGAATATGCGTTGATGTGCACCCTAGAGCACGCCACGGTGATATTAGCAGGAACATAACAGGACCTGATGACACCAGGAACCCATTAACCTTGAAATCTAAAGAACGGGATCGTGGTAGAGTCACACTTTTATTTCTCAGGCAAACTTGTACCTGTTCTGGGGTCTTGTGGGAAAAAATCATAGCAGAACCTCCGTCTTCTACACTGGGGTACTCAGGAAAAGAGCCAGTCAGATTCCTGTGCAGAGAAGGAGGAAAATTGAAACAGAAGTCAGTGAGGTCCCCTCTGTGGACGCCCCATTCGCCGATTTGCTTGTGTTCACGGAAGCGGGTGGTGGCTATCAAGGGTGGGGCTCCCTGGGATGGAGGGCTGGACAGCATGCCTCTGAGGAGCAGAGGTGACATGCAGTGACAGGATCCCGTCCAGCGGGACAGACATCTCTCCTTACAAGAGACTGCGCTTGTCCTCTTCCTCCTTTTTCCTTTCTGAATGTGGAGGAGTGTGTGCTGGAAGTGGAATGAAGACATGAGCACAAACGGTGCCTTCCTGTTGGCAGTTCAGGATAAACACAGGAGCCAGAGCCCGCGGAAGGGTGCAGCGTGCAGACCACACCTTTGCCCGTGTCTGGAGCACAGCGCCCGCTCTGGCCTTCAGGAAGCCCGAGGCCCAGGCTCGGCGGGTTGTATGTCATTTTTTTCTGAGATCACGTAATCTCTACACTTAGAAAGCAGACGCTGAAATGCCCATTCCTCTGTATTCCAATCTGCTGTTCTGGTTGAAGCACGGGAGGGAAATCTATCCTCACAGATGTCGAAGGGAAAAGGCAGAGGCCCTTAACAGCCTGGTGGAGACCTGCAGGGCACCAGGACAGCACTGGCCTCCCGCAGGTTCTGGCCTGGACCCGAGAGCCCACCGAGAAGCCACCCCTCCCTCGAACATGTGGACCGGTCTTCCTGCAGGTGGAACAGGCCCTGCACCCAGGTGTGCTTCTTAACCTCGGGTCTTTGTCATTTGGAAAGGGAAGGGCCACTGAGTCACGGGGCTCATCACTGCTAATGACCCACTGACCCACGGTGGCAAGCCAGGGGAACGGGGAGCGCCCATGCTGTTGGGGAGGTCCCTGTGACGTCATCTCGGCCCCGTGACACTCTTGGATGGCCCGGCTCAGACACGTGACAGGAGGACACACATCACAATGCTCGCCATGGCTCCCCAGCCTCCCCAGCCACCTGCACCCCACAGGTCACCGCATGGCTGGGCTCTTGCTGTTTAAAGCTCGAGTGTTGCGAGGACCCACACAAGCTTAGTGACATCAAAAATAAAACAGATTTCCATAGCTATCTAGAATGTGGGACTCTTACGAAACACACCAACTGTCACTAAGATTTAATGTCACAGTTTCACAGGGCCTTTTGCAAAATAATATTAAGTATTTATTTTTACTAGATAAATGAACAGAATGGGTCATTCCCACTCATGTTAGTTAACGTAACTATTTATAAGCTGAACCTGAATATTCTTTTCCTTGAATAATGAGAACAGTTGACTTGAGCACAAATCTAAAGACATATTTAAAATTTTGCATTTAGAAAATGACAGTGCCCTCTGGCAGTTCTGTGCCCCCATCTGTTTGCTCCTGAGGATGCAGGTGTGAGCACTGCCCTGGGCTTGTGCTTACTCCACCTGTCTGTCCCTCTAGGACACCTCCACCTGCAGGGGTGCTCTGGGCACACTGATTGGGAATCTCTCCTCAGCCCCCTGTGACCTGGTCACTTGTAAGAGAAAGCGGGCCTGAGGTTCTACTTGGCATTTCTGATCCCATTCCCAGGCTGGGGGTTGTTTTCAGCTGGGTGTGTGGCTCCCAGGGCTGTCCCCACCCATCCAGCAAGCCTCCTCAGACCCCAGCTCCCATGGTCCCCACTGCTGCCGATCAGGGCAAGGCGCTGGTGAGACGTGGAGTGTCCGGCTTTGGGCCCTGCTCCCACAGGAGGCGTCAGAGCTGCAGGGGACACACTGCCCGCCATCAGGCCCCTGGGGTGTTTCCGACACAAGCAGCTGGGACCTGATGAACTTGACTTCAGCCCACCTGGGCCTCCCCAGGGGGAGCCGCGGGCTCCAAGTCACATGCTGTCAGGACGGGCAGCGTTTTTGATTAAAAGTGGAAAGTGAAGCATCTGTGTTTTGTGGACTCTGGCCCCTCTGAGCCCCTCTGCCCCTAATGGGCACTTCCTCCCCATCTCTGCCGGCCCCCATCCCAGGACCACTGGTGCAGGGGATGGTGGAGGCTGCGCTTTTGCATGGACGCTTGGACACATATGGACACCTCACCCCCAGGGAGCTGGGAACCTGCAGGCCCAGGGCCAGGAAGACCCGCTGCTGAGCTTAGGACTGAGGGGCTGAGCATCGCTCTTATTCAAACAACAGGGACTGCAAATGGCAACTGAAATTGCTCTCAGTCCCGGGAAGGCCACGGCCACCGTGCACACCCCAGGCTCAGCTGCTGTCTGCCTGGCTGTGTCCCAGGAAGGAGTGGAGGGGCTGCCACCTTCCAGAGACCATTCATCCCTCAGGCTTGGTGTCCCCAGGCTTTGGTGGCCCGGACTCTGGCCTTCTCAGGCCACCCTTGCACCTCCTGGCCCTCTCTCCCCGTCTGCTGTCCTTAACGACAGTCTCTCCTCCTCACAGTTGCTCACCTCCCAGCCCTCACTGTGGGGCTCACTCATCTCTGCGCTCTTCCCTGCAGCCTCCCAGAGCTGCCCACGTTCACACCCCATTACCAGAGTTCTCACAAGCTATGGTGACGAATCGTGCTCCCGAACCCAAGATCCATGTGTTGAGCCCCCAGCACCTTGGGATGTGACCTCGTTTGGAAAGAAGGTTGGGCAGAGGTCCTCAGTTAAGGTCTGGTCACACAGGAGTAGTTTGGGTCCTATCCCAATGTGACTGGTGTCGGTGTCAGGAGGGGAAACTTGGAGAGATGGCACAGAAGGAGGGAGGAGCAGGTGGGGAGGCCCAGGGAGGAGCTGGTCACGTGCAAAGCCAAGGAGAGGGGCTGGCAAGGCCCTGCCTCTGACCCTCAGGAGCCTCTGCTGCCACTTGAGTTTGGGACAACAGACAACAGACTCCCATGGTGCAGTGCCCACCGCAGGCCTGGGTTCCAGCAGTGCCAGCTCAGCAACATGGTCATGCTGCGGGTGGGCAGAGTGCTCTCTCCAGAAGGTTCTCCATCCTGGTTTCATGCTCAGCATCCCCTGGCCTCTGCCTGCCCCTCTGACATCCTGCCTGCCTCCGGAGTCCCTTCTCTGCCTCACATGGAGAGTGCTCACATGTTGGGGACCTGTCAGCAGCATCTGAGCTCCCCATCACCTTATTATTATTAAAGGGGGCTGCTGGCCTCCTGCGTGGCTCTCCTGCTGGGTCCTCCTTGTCTCCCCACCTGGAACCTGGAAGGGGCTTGGTCTTAGGGTCCTCCCTCTCTCCATGCCCAGGCTCACGGCCGTCTGGCCCCTGCCTCACCGCCCCACTGACTGCAGGCTCAAGCCCTACTGCCCAGCCAGGCCTGGCAGCCCAGGGACCCCAAGGCCCCAAACTCAACTCTTGTTCTCACCAGCCCTCCTCCTCCTGCTCTCACCTTTTCCCAGTTCAGGAAATGGAAACCGTCTCTCCAGGGAGGGAACGTGGCGTCCCCCTCGGCCCCTCTCTTCTTCCACACCTGCGTTCTGTCTGCAAACACGGCTGGGTCTGCCTTCCTCGCATGCCTGCAGTGTGACATGGGACATCCCCTCCTGCCCCCTTTCATTCTTAAATGTGTCCTGGTTTGGACACAAAGACACTTAGACCTGCCGTCTGATGCTCCCCCATCCCTGCGTCCCCCGCCACCTGCCTCCCTCTGTGGCTGTCCCAGCTGCTCTGCCGCCTCTTCATTCCTCCTCTGGTGCCCTGCTCAGAGCCTCAGCCCCTGATGAAAAACACACACCAAGTGGCCGACTCTGGCACCGGGTTTAAGGGTGTCCTCCAGGGTCACACTAGCAGAGAGGTCCGCCCTAAGTGTCCTGTATGAAATGAATCGTTCGGCCACACAAAACGCCTGCCCTCTCATCTCACCACCACGGACCTGCTGGGGTGCGTACGTAGCTCTGGGTGGAGAAGAGGTGGGGGGTGGAGTTATTTTGGGATGATGATCTCAATTTCTCTTCACAGAATGGAAAGCACTTTAATTAGATGCGGGAAACTTTTCTACTTAAAACAGATTTTAGGGCAGAATTCTCTGCACAGTTATTAAGTGTCAAATAGGCTGCCTTTGTGCATGGTGATTATTTAAATTACAGGTTTCTCTCAATTGTGATTCAAAGCCACTTGATCGTCTTCAAACTGTCATCATTTTGCTGATTTACAGCGTGTGCTAGAATGCGTTCCAGAATGCATCCCACTTCCGACCTCTCTGCCCGGCTTCCATTTGCTCTCAAAATGCTGCAACAGGCAAGGTCAACAAGCAAGGTCAAAGCGGGCTCTTCAGCTGGGCATCTGAGTCCCCCCCATGGAACAAGTGAGGCAGGGAATAGAACCTGCAGGGCTGCTGTGTACAGTCTGCTCACCTCCCCTGCCTACACATGAGCAGGAAGGGAGAGGAGGAGTGAGAGCCACAGGGAACAGGAGCCCAGGACCCAGGAGAGCTTGTCAGGACTGCGATTCAGCAGCCGCTGGGGACTATCCCTCACCACACCTCACTACAGCAGAGGCTGGCGAGTTCTACAGGGATGACCTTTTTTTTTTTTTTAAAGCAAACATTTGGGTTTTGGGAACAACATTTAATTTGTATTAAATCAAGTTTTCATTTCCAGAAGACAGAATACTTTGAGTTGTTCATTAATTCCACTTGTTTTGTTTATCAAACTTTAGAGATTGTTTAAAATTTTCGAAAATAAATGACACCTTCCTGTCACTAGGTCTGGTCTACCCTAGAATAATCCAAAAAAAAGGGAAGGAAGGAAAGAAAAAGAGAAAGTGAGAAGGCCTCAGAGCGGCCGGAGTGAGGGTGCAGAGCCCCGTGGATGGCCGTCTCCTGTGCTCCTTCCAGGGGCCCAAGGTCTTGGGTGGCACCATCTCCACATGGTCCAGGACAATGGCCTCCAACCCTGGGCTCTGACGCTTCCCTCGAGTGAGCCTCCCGTGGCCTCGGGAGTTCCAAGCAGCAGCTCCGGCGCCAGCCCAGATCTTCTCACTCCATCCTCCTGCTC